CCTGTCTCCACTCAGCCGACCCAGTGTGCCTGGGACACCGAGCGGCACAACCCAAGCAAGGCCACCTCGCCAGCCACCTCCTTCCCTCACCCTGAGTAGCACCCGATACACAGGACAGTGGTGACACAACACCCCCCTGGCTTTTCAGGAACGGCAGGTCTCTAAGGACAGCCACAGAGAAAACCAGGCAAAAGGTTGTTTATCCAGTGGTACCTCGGTTCACAAACTTAATTTATTTCACGATTTTGGAAAAGATGGACACGGTCACGTTCATGCGGGAAAGATGGCCATGGTCGCGTTTGTCACCAGATGCAGTTTGGTTTGCAACCAACTTACTCACAAACAAAAGCGTTCATGAACCAAGGGCCCACGGTATCTGCTTCCTGCAGGCAGGCGGGCAGAAATTCAGAAGCTGTGGGTGGAGACAGAGGCACCTCACGCGGCTCTGGGGACAGCGAGCGGGGGTGTGCAGTGAGCGGGGGTGTGCCCCGCAGGGGACACTGGCAGTGCCCGTCAAAGCACACTGCATCTGCCCTTGCATTGTGATGAAAAATGCCTTTCCAGGAACTTTCCCTGAAGACACACCACCCACAACGCAAAACTGCAAGGGAGCAAAGCTATCTATTTCTTGTAATGGTAAAGTACGGCAAGTGCCTGAAGGCCAGGCCCAGGAGTCTGGCTGAACAGCCTGTGGCGAGCGGACGGACAGGGAGGAAGCACTGCACTGCTCTAACAGAGTGAGGAGGAGCGCTGTGAACTACAATGGAGTAACTCCCACGTTCGTGATTAAGAAGCAAAATGTAAAATACGTGTCACCTTTTGCATACGAAAAGTGGAAATAATAAAGCATGAAACTCTTCCCATGAAGAAGCCCTGAGCAGAACACCAGGACAATGAGGACAGGTTGTGGTGGACATGGAGAAGGGACATTCCTCTGAGGAAAGGCAAGATGCCACTCCAAATACATCTTTCTCTTCTGTGTTTTGTTTTTATTTTTGTTTTGAGGTGAGATCTCACTATATAGCCCAGGCTGGCCTCAAACTCACAGTAGTCCTCCTGCCTCAGCCTTCCAAGTGCTGGGATTACAGGTGTGCACCACCACGCCCCACTGAATATATCTTTTTCTACCAGCTCAATTTTTAAAAGCTGGTTGATAGGCTATGCATTAAAAAAAAGTAAAATCAGGGGCTGGGGATTTAGCTCTGCGGCACAGCACCAACCCAGCAACTGCAAGGTCGTGAGTTTCTGGTACCCGGAAAAAAAAAAAATTTAAAAAAATTTTAAAAGTAAAATCAACAAGACATGGAAGGCAAAGTAAGTCTAAAATGGAAAGTAAAATGAAAGACCCACAGAATCTGAGAGCCGACTAGACACAGGCTGGGTGAGCGGGGAGGCGAGTCCTGTGCGGCCCCCACCTCCCGAGGCCTGGGGTCTGCCATGATGCACACGTGTGCAGGGCTGAGCAGTAGAGAAGGTGCTGAGGGCAGCACTGTGGGAAAGGCCGCCCGACGTGCCCACAGCGCGGTGAACTCAGACCTCAAAGGCGTCTGTCTGTTCACGTGCGCGGGTGTGAGGCCTGGGAGTACACACAGCTGTATCGTGCAGACACGCGTGTGTTCATGTGTGCTCACGTGTGAGGGCTGCAGTCCCTTGGGCAGTGTAACAAAGCATCTCAGACGGGCACTCTGCATGTGTGGGAAGCGTGCCGGAGCGACCCCAGGCCTCACAGTCAGGAGGAGCGGTTCCGAAGGAACAGGACCCATTTCTCATGGTTCTGGAGGCGGGGGTCCCGGGCACCCCAGCAACGCGTGCTGAGGGCTGCTGCTTCCAAGGCGCCGCCCTCCAGCACAACCCCATGGGTGGGAGCAAGAAGGGCTGACGGAGGGACGCCACAAAACCGCCTGAGGCCCGGCTTCCAGTCACCACCCCGACCGTGCAGCCCCGCTGTGCGTCCCTGAGCTCTGTGCAGGGGGGAGCGCTGTGTTCATAGCTGCACCTTTGCCGCACCGCTGCCTGTGAGGCTTGGGCACCTGCCCAGATCCGCATTCCCGCTGCTGTCTCCCGTGCTGTCCTCCGACCACAACCGAGCCATAACTCAGTCACACACAGGCTCTGACGGGCACGGGCGGTGTTCAGCAGGGCGATGTCAGCATTCTGGGAGACGCGGGTGAAGGAACGGAAGTTCACAGTGCTGCTGAATATACGCGGAGGAGCAAGCCGCTGAGCTGCAGGGTCCCAGTAGACAGGCAAGTTCCACCGCTGCCCCTAGCTCCGTTGTACCAGTTCACACCCCCACTACTAGTTCCTGAGAGCTCCACTTCTCCTACAGCCCTACCAGTACTCAGCACGGACTCACATGTCTGACTTAGTTAAACACTCCACATTAGCATCCCATCTTTGATTCAAAATGTACAAAAGGGCAGGCTTTTCATTTTTCTTAAATCATTAAGAGTTATCTTTTTAAAATCAGAAAAACTGAAATGCATTTTAGCAGATTATTGTCAGAGTTCTCTAAAAAAAAAAAAGGAATCGGCCCGATGTCTCTCTTTGCTATTCATATTTTTGGAAACCACTATGAATGAGAACCAATGCTCCGTAGAGACCGTCATAGTGGGTTTGTGACTGCTCTGCAGCCAGACAGATGCTTCCCAATTCCAAGGTGCTCAGCGGTCCAGAAACTGTAAAACACATGTTGTGCTCAGGGCGAGTTAAATGCACTCAGCCCCTTCCCTGCAGTAAGGTACTGACTGAGGGCCCTGAGTGTACATCGCTAAAACTCCAGACCACAGACTCGTGGGGTGGAGCTCCCCATCTTCCCGCTTTCAGGTCATGCTCAAAAAGAGACAATTAGAGGATTTCCCGTGAGTTACAGCTTTAAAAAACATTTTCATGAAGCAGTAAGTTGCAACAATGTCTTTTCCATCACAATGGAAGCTGTGACTTCAGTAATTAGTGTGCTTACATTTTAACTAGAAAATAAACTAATTAAAGTCCTATTTATGCAATACAGATATTTACAAACCCTAGATCTTAACATGTTAGTTATGAGGTTATTGTTCATTAGGCAAACAAATCAATAAGCAACATCCCAGCAAGTGCTAGCTCAGTCGAGAATGTGGAGTTCACGCTAGGAAAGCGACCGTGAAAACAGGGTTTCTAGTCAGGGTGCTTCTATTGGATTAACACCTCCTGAAAACAAATGCCTGAAAATGCCAACATGTACAAAACCAAAACCCTAAAATTATTTAAGGTCTGAAAATACAGTGGGGGACCTTTCAGGCCAACTCTGGATGAAAGCCCCAGGCAGAGCTCAGGACAGAGGGTGCCAGGTTACCGACCCACAAGATCCACACGGGCTCCTGGGGTCCTGCCAGCTGCTCTGAGCAGGGCAATCTATGAGGCTCTAGCACTGAGCCGCTGCCTGCACAGGGGATGTACTCTCACATCCCACAGAGCCAGGTGTGCAACCAACCTCTGCACATTCCTTCACGCTCCAAACCCTGAGAGGCGTGCCTGGGAAACCACGGTCGCAGACCTGTGTCTCAGGGGTGTGCACACAAGCCCCAGTCATCCTTGGGGAACCTGAGGCCTTTCAGGGGGAAACAACCCCCAGACTCCGTCCCAGGGCATCACCACAAGTGGACTTTAAGGACGACGAGCAGCCAGCAGTAAACAGAGAGACCTCCCAAAACAAGGGAGACCTCCCAAAACAAGACAATCCTGGCATGAACAAGAGGCGGCGGCGCTGTCGGTGGGCACTGGAATAACCAGACCCGCCTGGGAGCAGCCCCACCCGACAAACGTGAATGAATGGAACACGAAGTGGAGAATATTTACAGGGACCAGGAAACTACTGAGAAGAATACAGGTTTGAAGGCGAAACAACTTCTAGAGATGGAAACACTGCAAATGAAAAAATAACCGAAATCAAAAACTCAGTGGCTGCATTTGGCAGCAGAATGGACGTAGAAGACAGAAACAGGTCAACGAAATCACTCAGAATATATCAAAGGACACCGAGGAGACAGCTGGCTTAGAGGGGAGTGCAAAAGTTTGATGTCCTGTGATCTGAGCTGAAGAAGACAGTGGTAATGGCGGAGAAATCCGCACACCAATGAAGACAGGCCGGAGCCCTCAGGCGCAGAGAACCCTAAGACAATGAACGAAAGGAGAAAGCCCCATTCAGTTACATCAGGTGAGTCTGCAGAACTCCAAAGACACCTCCTATCAAAAAAAAAAGTTTTAGAATGAGCTAACAGATGAAAAGAGGAATTACCCTCAGAGGGAAAACTAACTCAGAGCACAAGCTGGAGCAAAGGAGAGGAGGTGCACGCCCACGGGCAGCGGCATCCGCGTGACGCCGAGCGCTCCTGGCAGGAACACCTGCGGCCTAGAGCTTCACACTCAGCAAAGCTGTCCCTCGAGAAACCGGGATGTTGTCAGACCTGGAGCTTGGCGCCAGAGCCCCCAAGTTAAAAGAGGACTGGAAAAGATCCAAGTGGGAAGAAATCAGTGAAGACTGCCGGAAAGAGAACCAAGACTCAGAACAAGGGAAGCAGAAACGAAAAGGCAAAGTAAATATTAATTCCAAAGGCGCCCTCTGCCCAGCCCAGAGGAGCTGCCGCTCCTCCTCTGTGGACCACTCCCACGCAGGGTCAGCGGTAAGGGGAAGCTGCAGGGAGGGCACTGCCCTAGAGCACAGAGCCCAAGGCTGCTGCTCTGTGTTCTAGTGCCAGCCACCAGCAGCCCCTGCGCCAACGCCCACAGCACTGAGCTCAGAGGCTCTGCACTCCCTGCTACGTGGCCAGGAGAGGTGGAGAATCACAGGCAAGGAAAAGTCCCGTCAGAGTCTATGGAGAAGGACACAGATTCCCTGGGTCTCTTCTGCTGCTTGGACGCTTAAGTCACTTGAGGACCACATCTGGGCCCCAAGCATGTCCCAGAACCACAATCAGCAATGAGGTGAAAAAGAAAATTCTCCAAAAGCTGCCAGAACTGACCGTAGCGTGGTAGTCTTCCAACAGCACGGGGTACTGTATGATAGCCTCGAAAGCCGACAGCGTTATCTTGATGAATTCCTCCGATGCCGCCGATCCTGGGGACAAAGTCACAGTTATTCTAGGGTCTACACGCACTTTCTAAAGCACGTCCAAAGTACTCAGGCGCAGACCTGGATGCCCCTGAGGTCTACTCACCCACAGCTCCATCTATGTTGCTTTCTCCTGAGTCTATGGATTTAATGTGACTCTGAAAAAGATAAAATTCTCAATCAATGAACCTTTCAAAATCACTCTGAAATAAAATCTAATATACTGCTCAAAACTGTTCCTGTTGTTCTTATGAAAAAAGTCGTGAAAAACATTCAATACTCTACATATACCTAAATCATAGCTTCCAGGCAGGATTATATTTGAAACTATACATAACAAACCGTAATTGTTAAATACGCAAATCACCATCGTGGGCATTGATGCCAGAACACATTTGGTGGGAACAAAAGACCACACTGCAGGGACAATGCAGCTGGCACGCAAGCCTCAGGAACGCGCTGCGGACGCTCTGAGACTCAGGAAGCTGGCGGGTTTCGCTCACCAGGGACAGGTCGTCCTGGAAGAGCATCCTGTCTGGGCTTCCCAGACAGATGGCAGTCTGACCATAGACGGCAGTCTCCAGCCAGCTTCAGACCTCCCTGCCCAGCTGCTCCTGCACCCCACCCCACACTCCAGCCTTTGCTCCTACTGCGTGCCAGTGCCCTGCGCAGGATGCCCCAGTGCTGTCCCAGCAACTCAGCCCTGTGACGGGGCTGCTCCCTCTGCTGAACACTTGGGACAAACAGGCGCTATGTGGATGGGAGCCCCATGGGAGGCCGCTGCCCTGGGAGGCAGAGCCCCCACGTTTCTAAGGTGCAGATGATCCCCCCTGCCCTTTGCTCATCAAACGGTACATATATTTTACATATGACAAATAGCAAATTAAATGCCAGATGACTCTAAAACCAGAATAACATGTATAAACAATTAGTGCAGAGCAGAAATACAGGTGCTGGGAAATGTTTAGGACGTCAAATCTGAAAAGACAGACTATAAATCCCTATGTAAACGCCGATGGTCTCAAGCACATGTGTCTGTAGCTGTCTCTGTATGTCGTAGATACAATTTTTTCTACATACAAATGAAAAATGGTAGGCATTATCCGTGGTTGTGGAGTTGTGGGTGACCTTATTTTCTTCCAATTTCACCATAATTTTCTATACTTTATAATCTAAATAAATAGGCATAAATTGCCCTTAAAATAAGGTAATAAGTTATAAGGAAAATCAGAGAATCTAGGAAATGCAAGCCCTTTGAAACCTGAAAATGAAGAACACTTTGAAGTCTCTTTCAGCCTATGAATAAACATAAAAAATGGACTGAAAATGAAGTCACTCAATAAGGGGACGTTGGAAGCTTTTTGTAGCTTGGTTGAAATAGTTCCACCAAAGTTCCAACATGAGACCTGCTTCACTGAATTCGATACTAAATAATGAATGTGATGCTAAATAAAAATTCAGAGAGAGCTGTCTCTTGCCCGGTATCTGTGGACTCCCGCAGGAGGTGGCACAGAGCGAGTGTTCACCGCCAGCCTCTATGCAATGATTCCGGAAGAGCACGGGGATGGGCCAAAAAGACGGGCACATGGACGGCGCTTTTCGAGGCAGCGACCACAGGGAGGGGAGGCAGCGCCCGCCTCCTCACCCCTGCCCTGCAAGTCCTGGACCCCACCCCACAGAGCACCCGCTCCTCATCCTCAGCATCGGCAACATCACTGGGGGTGACAGCACGGACTGCCCTAGGAACACCCCTATTGAATGTGTCACTGGCTTACTGATTCTAATGCTTAATGCTTTGAACACACATTTTCTTCCTCCATTCTCAGTGTGACAGAAAGGAGGGAGGGAGGGAGAGCATGGTGACCAGAGGAGGGAGACAGCACCGGGGCGGGGGCATCAAGGAGGTGCCGGCGGAGCACCGGAACCGGCCCCAGGCAGCGGGTGCAGTGCTGAGGTCGGGGATTTGTGGCGGGTGCACAGCCGAGGCACAGTGGGGGTGCTGAAAAGCTCTCTGGGGGAATTCAGGGTCTCAGGACATGACAGGCACAGAGGGAGAGTTGCAGTGAGCACAGAAGAGCCACGTCGCGGATGAGGGCCAGGACCCAGGTGTCTGCCAGGGAGGGTGCCAGGGTGGCCCCAGGGTGACGTGCAAAGCAAGGAGCTTCGCAGAGAGCCACAGACAGCGGCCGCCCTGCCACCCACAGCGACCACGACAGAACACGCTCACATTCCATCTTCACTTGTATTCCATGTTTTTTTCAGGACATTTAATACCAAAATCTATGAAAGTGTTTCTGTGGACCTACCATATTTGGCGCCGTCTCTGAAAACAACACATTATCAGGACAGAATATATCTTTTCTCCAAATGTCAACTTCTATTACAGTCAACAGATAAAAATACAAAAAGGTCACTTCCCCAGAGACAAGTAAATGCCACCACAATTTTTAAATTACCATATATTGACATTAAATTCCATACACAGTAGACAAACAGCCATAATTTTAGTAAGAACATAAAACACGTAATGGAGTTACTCACAAGAATAGTTCCGTAACTGAAAAGAAACTCCTCTGTCACAACTTGCGGTCGAACGACCTGCATGTGAGAAGATTCCACAGATTAAGCCCTGAAAGCCAAGACCAATTTTAATTCAAGAAACAAAAATGTTTTGTTTCAGTTGACACTTCTCAGCTGGAGTTTACAGGGAGCCACATTTACAAGGGGGGATCAAAATCCTCCCCACTGCTTTGAATACACTCACCCCGCTGGCCCTGCCACTTCCTGCAGCAGCTCTGAAGCCCTCTTTTGTGAAGGTCTTTAGTGGTGCTGTCCTGGCTGCCTTCATGTCCTGAATCGACTCAAAACATTTCCCCTTCATGGTTACTTTGACTTTGGGGAAGAGCCAGAGGTCCCATGGTGCCAGATCCAGTGACTACGGTGGATGAGGACACGGTCTGCCTTTCTTTGGATGGAGCACGGAGGCAGCAATCACCATACTCTTTATCACACTTCTCAAAGGGAGTAGTAAAAGAGGACTCCAGAACAGCTCCAGGAAGTGGCTAGAACAAAGGGCTGTGTGCTTGAAGTGAGGGGAGGTGGGGGGATTCTAAAGGGGATTCAGGCCAACGTGTCTTCTACTGTGGGAAACTTTTTAGAATTCACCCATGCACCATACACGTTGATCACACCCGGTCATGCTCCCTCCTTCCCAGACACAACAGTACCTGAGAAGTGAGCAGGTGAAGCACCACGGGCATGAGGGGCAGGCATGTCTTTAGCTGCTTCCCTTGGACAGTGGATGGGTGCTTCCGACCTGAGATGCTGGCCAAGGCATTGAGAACATCACCTGCAAAGCAGAGCCCAGAGAGCCTGAAGGTTACAGACCTGCAGGGGCCACTGTCAGGGCTCGATTACTGGCAGGAATTCCCAGGTAATCCACCTCCAAACAAAAGTACAAGTCATGCCCTTCTGGTTCACAACCCTGAAATTAGACAAGGGTGGCCTCTGGGGACAGAACGGGATGTTCTGATGTACACTTCTAATCAGCCTCACATCTAGGAATTAAAAATAGGATCTACGAAAAATTACGGTAGAGTGATGGTTTTAGAATTTTCTTACATATTTTCTGCAGCTTAACTATGACCACATTACTTTGATAAACAGAAATAATCATTTTGAAGTTGCTGTATAAAGGACGACAGCTTTTTAAAAAATAGAAGAGTACAGAAGTGGAAAGAGCTCAATTCCCAAGAGTTTCCACTGCATAATAAATCCAATAATAAATATAACTTAATTTGTGGGCATTAGAATCTTATCTTTGTATTCTTTTTTAAAAATCTTTGTATCCTAAAATACAGAACCTGGTAATAAGGATCTCAACTACCAACTGACCAGATGATATCCTTCAGGTTGGAGGTAAACAAAAGTCAGCATCCCGAATGAATCTGGGGTGCTTTAGTTTCAATCACTGTCAGCGTAAGTCTTGAAATATGTTAGCAAAGAGCTACTGTCCTTGCATGTGAAGAGATTTTCACCATTTAATATTTCTGATGCTTCTGTTTATAGCTACATCTGCCAGAAAAGCATGAAAAGGGACTGAAACTATGTGTACATATTCCACATTTTAATTTCTGCAAATAACAAAATAAGAGATTATTGTTATAGTATACACCCTTTGCAAATCATTAGATATTATCTTAAAGATAATTTTCAAACCAAAGAAATTTTTTTAAATTTGAACTTGAGTATTGACCGATACTGTCAAAGTTCTTTAAATTCTTTAAACACTTTAATTTTTAAATGTAAAAATTATGTACTTTTCAGTTCTCCTAATAAACTGATTTGTGGCTGTAATCTCAAGGAAAAATTGTTTTCTTCAGATTTAAGTGGGGAGAAATCTTGAGAAAACAATACCAGAAACAACTGTGTGTGTGCAACGGTAAGCAATTACAATGCTTTCATTTTGTTTATGTCCTAAAATAGTCCATTGACTTCTGGCAATGCCTCAGTGTAAAATGTAGCCTGCTTGGGTCTCAAGGTCACTGATGCAAAATAATTATAAATACAGACAGGGACAACTTAAATCCTGAAACCACACTTGCAAAGCCAGGTCCCCACACCCATGCGGCTGCAGGAGTGGAAAGAAGAGTGAGAACGAGCTGGTCTCTAGCCCGGGGCAGCGAGGCGGGCTGCAGCCAGGCCTGCGGACGACTCCACCTCACCCAGGATCCGCGGCAGCTCCTGGGCGAGGTGACGGATGAGCAGCTGCAGGCACCGGCACAGGTACTTGTCGCCGCCGCAGCCACCGCTCTGCCGCTCCTCGCCGGGGGTGGTCTTTCTGCTGTCTCTCTCGATGTACATCACCAGCCTGTAAGTAGGAAAGTGCAGAGGTCACCTCTCAGGGCACGACAGTGGACAGCACGTGTCCAGAAAGGCTGCCAAGGCCCGAGTGTCCCCAGGGCACTGTCCCCATCACACTGGCACGGAGAGTCTTAGAAGCTCCTTCAGTGGGGGTGCCGGGAGAGGCGAAGGCCATCACATCACTGGGACCGTGCCCGGGAAATGGAAGCGGCAGCGTAACTCCTTCCTCCTTTGCTCTGTTCCAGTCACCATGAGGTGAGCAGCTCCGCCCCACAGCAACAGCCAAGCTACCGGGGACTGGAACCTCTGAAACCTGAGCCCAAGCAAACCCATCCTCCTCCTGAGTTCATTTTCTCAGGATTCTGTTACAGTGATAGAAGCCTGACTATCACAGCTCTGGATCATTCTGTTTCTCCTTCTTCCCCTTCACAGTCCTCCTTTTCCTCCACCTTCTGTGCTCCAATTGAAGTCCTCACTTCACGGGAATCCAGTTTATGCTGCGGGATAAGGTAGGAATATAACCTCATCATTTCTCCAAACAGTGAACCACTTGCCTGGTGCTACTCATTGAAAAGGTACTTAGCAAACAATGGGTGAAGAAGAGGGGTAAAAGAGTAAACAGGTAGCAAATCTGACTAAGGAGCAGTTTGGTCCCTAGATCGCCTCCGTGTACTTAGTCAGCTTTGCCATCACTGGAACGAAGCACCTAACACTCGCAAGTGGAAGGAGGAGGGTGGGTTCTGGCCCAGGTTCCCAGGTTTCAGTTCATGACTGCCTGGCTCCATGGTAGGAACATCATGGCAGAGAGCTGCTGTCTCAGTTACTCTTCTTGTTGCTCAGACAAAATACCCGACGCCCAAAGTTAAGGCAGAAAGGTTTATTTAGCTCAGTCTGTGGAGGTTTCAGTCCCTATCAGCTGTCTGTATTCCCGTGAATTGAGGACTTCAATTGGAGCACAGAAGGTGGACATATCGGGCAGAGTGGTGCATGGCAGGGGGGCAACAGTTCACTGCACCAGAAGACAGCAACAGCAATAAGAGAGGAGAGAGAGGAAGAAAGAGAAGGTACAAGCCTCTTTCTGTCCCTTATACTGTAGGCAGCCTACCCACCCTCAGGAGAGTGTAGCACTCACACCCTTAATCCCAGCACTGGACCATGAATCAACCACAAACTCTAGATTCAGCCGCCCCCAAAAAGCCCACCCCCCCATGCCCACATGAGGCTTTGAGGGGACATCCAGACACAAACTCTACCAGGTGTGGTGGCAAAGCTGCTCACGGTGTAGCTGCCAGGAAGTACGGCGCCAGCAAAAGACACACCCTCCACAGACAGCCCTGGTGACCGCTCCAGCTGGGACCTTCTTCCTATAACACATTCAGTTGTGATGGTCCTGGGATTAATCCCCAGGAGTACACTGTCTCCCAGTTTCTTCTGCTCCAGTTTTACGTTCTTTCACCTCAGTACTGGTCCCATAAACTCCAGCAGGTTAATTCTCCATTCAGCCAGGTCAAAGCAAGTCGATCCACTGAGATTTTGCTTTCAGTTATTGTATTTTCCAGTTCCACAACATCCATTTGGTTTGTTACTACAGATCTAGTAAACCAAAACACCTGAACTTTCAAATTCCTTGACTATATTAACTGCACTAAAGTCTGTAAGAGATGACGCCGTTCTCTGGATGCCCCGAGGGCAATGGCTCGGGTTCACCCTGCTTGTTGTCTTTTCCCCCTGCCATGCTCTCCTTGTAGACCCAGTGAGTCGCTGCCGAGTGTGAGAATCTATGCAGGGAGTTCAGAGACATTCTGAGGGCCCAACTGCTCAGACGGATTTCCATTTCTCTGTGGAAGGCAGTTAGGGGAGCCATGAACCTGGGGACCCTAACTCAAAACAGGGAGGAGATATTCAAAAGTGGGGTTTCCTTCCCCGTTCCAGGAAATCTTGTGTACAAACAGCACGTGTCCCAAAAACAGAACAAATACAAGGGAAATGTGTATCTTTCAGTAGCCAAGGAGTTGACATTAAAAAAACTCCCCAGAATGTAGTGTGTGTAAGAAAGTAAATCCACAGTTGTCTATCAGGAATCAATTTTTCTCTAAAATCTAAATTAACTCTTACAAAATATACTAATGTGTTGCTTCATTACCATAGTTTGCAGCAGATTTTCCTTAAGGCAAAGACCATCCACATCATTCTCAAACACTCGCAGAGAGGTTAGCACTGAGAAAACGCCACTGCATCCACGTCTGGGGCAGGAAGGAAAGACAGGGCCACAGCAAGGCACACCCAGCCCTGGAACACACCCCAGAGCCTCTCCTTGCCAGATCTGTGCTCTCAGGCCCACAGAAGAACAAACAGGCTACTGACAGCGGAATATTATTTACTAAGAGAATTCGTACTCAGTAGAGGAAATCAAATGTGGAAAGAGCTGAGTGTAGTGTCAATAAACATTTTGCAATTGTTTTACAAAACTGCAAGTGGTTAGTTCTGAGCATACAAAAAGGCATGGAGATAAAAATACCAATACTCTGAACAACCTAAGTCATCTGCGTATGACCCAGACCCAGTCCTCCTTAGTGCCCCGCCTGGCCGCCTCCCTCCCGTCCTCCCCACATGGCGCCCTCTGCTCTGTCTGCTCCTGCTGCTCCCTCCACAGGTCTCTGCCTCTCGTTCCCACCAACCTCACTGGGACTTCCTCCCTCTGGTCGCACAGCGACCCTTTCCCTTGTTTCCCGGGTGCTGGGTCCTGGGCTGTTCATAGCTCTGGTAAAGACCTCAGTACAAATCCCTGCTGCAAAATGAGCCCAGTAAGCACAGGACTGGTGACCGTGCCCACATCAGGCCACTCGTTCAGTAACAACTCACGCACTAAGCATCTTCCAGTTGATGCGAACACGGGTCACAGACAGTGTGTTCAAGTGGGAAGAAAACAATCAACATAACTACAACGTAGCAGGGGTGCGTGCCACAGAGAAAATGAAGGCGAGTGAGTCCCTCTGTCAAAGGAGGTCTCCTCACCAAAGCTGTCTCTGCAGAGACCAGAGTGAGGGAAGCAGCAGCCGTCTGGTGCACACAAAGCACATGTGCACAAGAACAGAGAGATCTCCTCCCTGTTTTGAGTTAGGGTCCCCAGGTTCACGGCTCCCCTAACTGCCTTCCACAGAGAAATGGAAATCCGTCTGGAGCAGTTGGGCCCTCAGAATGTCTCTGAACTCCCTGCATAGATTCTCTCTGTTCTTGTGCACATGGGCTTTGTGTGCACCAGATGGCTGCTGCTTCCCTCACTCTGGTCTAGAGATCTACAGATCTCTAACAGAGATACCGGGCTTGGACCACAGTAAGAACCTCGACTCTGATGCTCAGTGGAGACTGCTGACACACTCTGACAGGTGCTCAGAAACCACCAGGAGCACAGATCACAGACACAGGCACGAGGCCAGACAAGGGGACTAAAACAGCTCAGATGAGAAGCCAGGGAGAACGCTGGGCGTGGTGGTGCAGGCCTGTAATCCCAGCACTTGGGAGGCTGAGGCAGGCAAAGTGAGCTCAAGGCCAGCCTGAACTGCACAGCGAGACCCTGTCTCAAAAAGACCAAAAAAAAAAAAAAAAAGAAAAAAAGAAAAGAGAGAGAAGCCAGGGAGGCCTGGCTGCAGAGGAGGTGGGAGATGGTGTGGCTAACGAACCTGGCACCTTTCTCAGGTACCAACAATCAGATCTGCTGCTGAATGACAGAGCTGAGGGACAGGAAATGAAGAATAATGCTCCCACACCAGCTGTGGTGATGCATGTTTATAGTTCTAGCACTCTGGGAGGCTGAGGCAGGAGGATCCCAAGCTAGAGCCCAGCCAGGGCCATTTAGCAAATTAGCAAAACCCTGCCTCAAAATATAAAAGGGATGGAGCTGGGCATGATGGCACATGGCTGTAATCCCAGCACTCAGGAAGCTGAGGCAGGACGATTGCTGTAAGTTCAAGGCCAGTCTGGGCTACAAAGTGAGTTCAGGATCAGCCTGAACTACACAGTGAGAGCTTGTCTCAAACAAAAAAAACAGACATATTTATATTTATATTTTTACTTATCTATAAAAGGGATCAGATGTAGCTCAGTGTGAAAGCCTTGCATTCAATCCCCAATTCTACACAATAATAATAATAACACAAGGGACTGGAGGAACAGGACTGCCACGTATTCGGTGAGATATACAAAGTCTGCTGGAATAGTAATTCTTGTAGAAAAATCATTAAACACCGAAGTGTAGCTGCTGTGTGATCTGAGAGTGACCTGAGAGCTGTGAGGAGGTCTGAGATGCTGACACAAATCTGAGGCATGGCAGGAGCTATCTCAGGCCTTGCCCAGCTCCCCATCCCTTCCCACCACACCTCTGCCAGCCCCACCCAGTTCGATGCCCATCGGTGGGCACTGCCCCATGTCCTGCAGCCCCCCAGCCCCAGGCCATGCACTGCTGGACAGGGATCAACCGGGCACATCCACCCCACATGCAGCCTCACTGCAGCAGGAAAATAAGCGGGATCCCCGGCGGAACAAACCACCCAGCACAGAGCAGGAGCGGAGCCTCCACAAGGGCCTCTGTCCTGAGAGCACTGAGCGCGGCTTTGCTCTTACTTTTATCCTGTTTCTGCAAGGCAATCTCTCACTGCTGCCAACGCCAGGTGAGATGATACAGGGCAGAGGCGGAGCAGGGCTGGCAGTGGGAGCTCTGGCAAGACCCTGCCAGGCTGTGACTGGGCTGAGGTGACTCCGGAGCTGCACCGTGCCTGCTGTGGCGGTGACCGCCAGCTTCCTCGGGGAGCTCTGCTGTGCAGCTGCCCCAAGCGCCCACAAGCGCCCGATTTCACCCCAGAGGTGGCCTCCTCTCGCAGTGTGACGGGGCCCTCACGCAGCAGGACACTATTTTGGGAGAAGGAAAGCAGTGCTTGTCTTTGTTCGCTCCGCTCCAAGCCCATTTTTATGTCTACGCACCTTCTGTAACTTGTGACTGCTGCCCCCTAC